TTTAAAATAAAATATATTTAAGAGAGCTTATGTTAACTGGCATTTGCATAGCATTGAAATTTGTTGATTTTTGTAAACTAGAAATAATAAGTATATGATAAATAATATATATATATATATATATATATATATATATATTATGAATGTATATGTTATTGACATTAATATCTTCATAAAGAATCGAACTCGTGAACTGTGTAAAAGATTTGTTTCTTCACGATGAGGTCTTTAGTTCATTTAGATATCCATGAATGACAAACATAAAAGACTTGCTCTATTTTTGGACAATAATATATATATATATATATATATATATATATATATATAATTTTACACATATATCAATTTATTCCACGTTTCTTCAAATGCGCCTTATCCACTCAAACTGGCGTTAACCAGGTTAATTATAAAAGAAAAATTTAAAGATATGCGAAGTTGCTGTAGAGTCCTATGATGTTAGTAATTGTTATAAACTAGTGGGGTACATTGCATCGTGCCTTAAGGCATATTGCTGGAACTTCCCGTACCATATAATTAAAATTTTTGGTGCGGAACACAAAAAAATTTACACAAAATGTGTAGATATTATTAAAATATCTGATAATTCGGTGTACATATGTCTAATAAACATTTTTGACCGCCAAATGACATTTTTTAAACTTATTTTCATTGAGAGTCCATAACCGCTGGACCTGCCTTCCCAAAAATTTAATCAGTTCTTCATCTTTTCAATACAAGTTGCGCTGCGTTCTCTTAAAAACTGAGTTATCGATTTTGGCACTTTTTGCCCCGTAAAATTTTTATATATCTTTACGTTTAAGAGATTTCTGAACATTTTGGCATACCTTAAAAAAAAGAATGTATATGTGTGTGTGTGCGGATACAAATTTTCTTCGACAATTTCGGGAACACGGTTCAACCGATTTCAATTACTCAAAAAACATTCGATTCCTATTAGTGAGGAGACGTGCTGATTAGTTTTTGGCATAGGCAGGTCTAGCCGTATCGAAGATACCGGGCAAAAAGTGCCAACAGTAACTCAGTTTTCATAACATGTGAATCTTTTTTATATTTTTGGTCAAGTACATGTATGTCTTAATGTTTTATTAAATTAAGATGATTTTGGGAAATCTCCAATGAACTGTATAATGACCTCTGCATGCAATGCAAAATGGATCACTTCCTAAAAACTGGTTTTAGCTAGTTCCAAAACTGGTTTTGTTCATTAAATTTGGGTCGCAGGTCATTGTGGATCAATTGTCTTTGATTAGCAAATAAAAATCTGATAACTAACAAACATTTTAAGGAACTTGCTTAAAACATTTCAGAGAAATCATACATTGTTCAATTTGCGATGCACATCATTAAGAAATTATAAATATCCTTTGCATTTACAATGTGCAATTGTTTCAATGCAATTTGTTGAAAGTTGACACTTTGGTTAGACAATGGTAATTAAAAATTTCGAATGAAATATTAATACTAATAAGTTGTATTATTTAATATTGGTAAGTGTGAACACATTGTATTGTTCAAGCCATTTTGTTTATCAAATTTTTGTTTTTGACAATCTATTGTATTGTCCTTTGACAATTTTATTCTATAACTAAGACCTTTTTAACCCAGGACCTTCATATATTACTATCTATTCTTCGATAAATTCTGGGAGATTATAACTGGGAATAAGTTATTCGACAAAATATCTCTTTGATCGATTCCGAATTAGGGTTCTGAATTTAAATAACATAAATAAAAAATAATATAATCTAGAAAATGTTTTATAAACACCAATGAGTATATAATTATACAAATGAGTTCTTTCAGAGCACCGTGTTTGAGAAAAATATGATTTGAAAAAGAGAGTGCTATAACATCAGAAAGTGCATTTTCATATTAACATTTCAAAAAAGTTGATATTTTGAGTTTCTAGTAATACTTACGGCCCGTTTAATAAGGTTTTTGTGTATAAATAAAATTACAAACAAAACTAACTTACTACAATTTAATCATAATTTAATAATTATTTTATTTATACACAAAAGCGTTATTAAACGGGCCGTTAATATTACTGAATATTAATATTTACCTAAAACATTCTACTAAATGTAATCGAACATCATGTCAAAAACATTTGACTTTAATTTTTATTTAAATTACGCTTCTACAAAAATTTTCAAATTAAAAATGTAAACAACCTACAACAGCACGAATTTATAAAGACTAAGACTGGCCAAATATGTACAGCCATTTTAACGTTTTACCATACCTAACATTTAGTCGAGCTCCATTTTTATATATAAGAAGAAGATATAATATTTATAAATATTTGATATTCATATAAACAAACAAGATAAACAAAACAACACTGACACTAACATTCGTCACTTAATTTAATTAAAATAAACCTAAATAAATATATAATTTTTTTTTTTTTTTTTTTATTTCTGTTAATTTTAACAATCAGATTACAATACAATCTATAAGTTAAAAGTTATGGTATTGAAAATCAAAATCAAAAAGAAAAAAAAAAAAAATATAGAATAATGGAAATTAAAGAAAAGAAATAGAATAAATGAATGAATAAATAATAATTAAAATAATAGTATTAATAATAAAAACGATAATCAATAATAAATAATAATTAAAAATAACTTGTTTGAAAATTTTCCTGTGCAAAACAGGGAAATTATGTTGTTGACGGTAGATCGCTGGGCCATTTTCTTTTCAGGCGTTTTAATTTATCGGCTGTTTGTACTATTTGCATTTCCGGATTGACGTGTGCATCCAATTTGTTTTGAAAGATAAAACTTCTGTTCTTAATAACTTCCGCCACTGTTGGAATTTTTAGGTCTTTATGGATCATGTGGTTGGTCATAAACCAAGGAGCCTTACAAATCATTCTCAGAGTTTTGTTTTGTACTCTCTGGATTATTTGAATGTTACTCTTGCTGGCGCAGCCCCATAGCTCTATCCCATAAGTCCATATTGGGATTATTATTGCTTTGTATAATATGAGTTTATTTTCTAGAGACAGTTTAGATGATCTTCTCATTAGCCAGTTTATTTCTTTCAGTTTCAAATCTATTTGTTTTTTTTTCTTTAAAATATGCGTTTTCCAATTTAGTTTACTGTCTAAATGTATTCCCAGGTATTTTACGGAATCCTGGTTTGGTATAATTGTCTTATTCAAATACAAGTCAGGACTTGTGTGACTTCTCAGTGAAATGATGAGGTGTTGAGATTTCTTAGCGTTAGTTTTTATGTTCCATTTATCTAGCCATAGTTCTATTTTCGCCAGGTAATTTTGAAGTAAAAAAGTAGCTGTTGTTACATCTTCATGACTTGAGGTTATAGCAATGTCATCAGCATAGGTGCTTATCGTTAATGTCGGATCGAGTGGCATATCACTGGTGTATAGCAAATATAGTATTGGACTGAGAGCACTGCCTTGCGGAACACCGGAATGAATTGGTTTTGGAGGGGAGAGATCTTCATTTTCTTTAATTTGAAAGGTTCTATTTGATAAGTAAGATTCCAAAATTGTGAAATATTTTGGAAATGTTTTCTTTAATTTATATAATAATCCCATGTGCCAAACTTTGTCGAAGGCCTGGCTGATGTCTAGAAAAACTGCTACACAAAATTCTTTTTTATTCAGGGCTGTGAGGATTGAGTTGGTTATTCTGTTGCATTGCTGTATTGTTGAGTGATGTCTTCTAAAACCAAATTGGTGGTTAGGTATCCAGGATTCTTCGGGATGATCTTCTAGTAGTCTTTGTAAAATTAATCTTTCGAATACTTTTGATAGGGATGGAAGCAGGCTTATAGGTCTATAAGATTTTACGTCAGATGAATCTTTGTTTGGTTTTGGGATCATTATGATTTTTGCATTCTTCCAAACAGATGGCCAGTAGTTAAATTGAAGAATGGAGTTGAAAATGGATGTGATAAATAGTAGACATTTTGGTGGAAGTTCTTTTAACATTTTAGGAGAGACTTGATCGTTTCCGGGGGCTGATTTTGATTTGATAACTTTGATTTTATTTTTGATTTCACTTGGTTTAAAAGGTCTTATCATAGACGTTTGGCAATTTCCTTGAAGCGCATTCAATATTTCAATTTCAGGTGACAAGTTTTGTTTTTTGAAAACATCAATCAAGTATTCTGCGAATGCTTTACACTTTTCAGCGTCACTTTTAGCCCAAGTTATGTGGTTCTGAGAGCAAACTTTGAGAGGCGATTTCGACATAACAGGTTTATGTTTGTTCTTTATAGGTTTCCAAATAGAGGCATCATATCTATTTAGCTGCGAAACATATGAATTAAAGGAATCATTCTTCCAAATGGCGATGATTTTCTTTAATTTATTGCTAATTTGAATATATAATAAATAAATAACCGAATATTTCATATCCTTCCATAGATAAATAAGGATAAGTATCCATCTTACCAACTTCAACTTATCGTTAGTTTAATTTTTAACTTAAAATTTTGACAGTTACCTTATGATATATTTTTAATAAAAAAAAAATTATTTATATATAATTATTGAATTATTAAAGACAAAATGTTTGAAATTAGGTTACAATACAAAAAACTTTTTTTTTAGTTTTATGGTAAAATTTTATTCAATCCGACATCTCTGTAACACTTTTTATATAACTCTAATTGTACTCTATTTGCTAAGACATGTGTTATATACAATATAATACTATAAACTCATCTAAATTAAAAACATTATTTTCAACCTCAAAATTTTTAATATTTAATTGAAAAAGGAGATTATCATGATTGATATAAAAAAGATCTCTACACAGCATCAATTCTTCAAGTAATTTACAAATTTTTATAAGATAATTTGCAAACTGTAATTAATTTTCTAACTAACTAACTAAACTAACTGCGTAAGAGCGATATCAACAAAACTCCAAAGAAAAAGTAAGTGCATATGTGTACAAATTTCCTATTAAAACTTTAATAATACAAAGAATTGTTGTTCTCATAATATCTTTAATTGTTCTATTTTTTACTAAAACATTTTTGTATATATTATTTACATTTTATCTAAAATAGCTGAAGGTACAACAACTGTTTGTTTTGCAGGTTTATTGCTTATTGTTTGAGTTTTATTGTGTTCATCGATATCCAAAGGTGTTTCCAATGTTGAGTCTTTCGTAAAAAACCATTCCTTTTTATTTAATAAAAATAATAACATCAATGCAGGTAAATGAATTAGTGAAAATCTAAATAGTTTTCTAGAACTTTTACTGTCCGATTCTTTATAAAATTTCCAAGCTGTAATAAAATAATAAATTTAATATTTATAATTCATAACTTTTAGGAAAATTTTCAATGCACTACCTAAGTACATAAAGTATCCGTTCAATGGTAACATTTCAGCAGCAAACCAATAATTAGTAACATCTAGAAAAGGAGCTGATAATGACAAGGCTGCTAAAAAACAGGTATGTCTTAAAGCAACTCTTCTACATAATGCAGGATCAGTAACTGCCATCATTCTATATCCGGCTCTGCTGTAATCCGGTCTTAAATTCCAAGATAACGCATTAAAATGTGGAAATTGCCACGTATATAAAAGGCCTCCTAAGATAAATGCTCCTGCACTTAAATTACCGGAACAAGCAGCCCAACCCATTAGGGGTGGGATTGCTCCGACTAAAATAGAAATAAGATGTAAAAAATTCAAATTCACACATGGATCATTAAAAGATGTTAGAATTACCAATTGATCCAACCCAAGTATTTAGAATACTTATTCTTTTCATTGGAGTATATACAGATGTATATAATATTAAATTAGCTGCTCCTAATCCTGCTGTTAAACCATTTACACCAAAATATAACATACCTATACCCGTAGATGCAGCAACCGTAGCAAAACCTACAGCATGTAATGGACTGAAAATAATAAATATAAAATATCTTTTTCGAAATAGATATGGATATAATTTTCAATACTACCTTAAAATACCCCTGACTAAAACTCTGTTCTTAGTTCTAGACATTTGTGAATCAAATGGAACTTCAAAAAACTGGTTTATAGAATTGGCAGCGCCTGATACTAAACCTGTACCCAGTGAACACAATAAAAATGTTGTAAGTTCAAAGGGTGCGGGTGCCATTGCATATCCTGCCATAGATGTTATAACAACTAGAGCTAGAAAACACCAAATCTTTGAATATATATTTCTAATATAAATAAAAATTTATTTCTTACATGTCAGTCTTATTTTTGACAACATGAGGTAGTGTTGTATTAACTTTGATGCATCTGAATTTGGTGTAACAGTCCATGCCGGTTCGGGTATAATGACTTTTTTTACTTTAGTTTTTTCTTTAGGAATTTCGCTAGTAGGTAATTCTATTGTTACTGCTATTGATGTGTTATTTCTCATCGGTGATCTAGCTCTGGATTTTGTTGTAATGAAAGCAGGCGGTATGCCAGCTTTCGATGTTTTATCGACATACTACAGAAAGTAGAGAATAATTAAAATATAATGAATTAACTTGGGTAAAGAATTTTCGTAACCCATATTATAAATGAAGTGTTAAAGGATATTATATAAATAATAGTACTGTTTATTATTCTATTTAATAAATCTTTACATACTTGTTTTAAAATAGTCCTTGACAGAGAATTAGAGTTACATATGTCTTTACATAACCTCTTATGAACAAATATTGATAGCATGTTCAATTAAGAACTTTTATCTGGACATTGTAAATTGTGCTTTTGTTTCCAATAATCAATAACATAAAATATGACAGTTTGTAAATTATATAACATATTACACGTTTGTTTATTTGATTTTCACATTTTCAATGCGAAAATTTCGCCATTGATAAACGTCAAACGGTTGCGAAAGAATTACGATAGATGGCTCTACTAACATGATGAAAATGGAGCGAAATTCAAATATTTATAAACCAATTGAATTTTATTTGGTTTCATTTTTTAAATCATATAAAAGAATAAATATGTATTCTAATATATAATTTTAGTGTTACAAATATGTTACCATTGTCCTTTATTATAACGAAGTCGGTCCACGTTTTCCCCTTGTTTTCTCCAACCATTTATAACCAGGTTCGCCGACTTCATCCTGATATGTGGTCAAAGGCATGTAAACAATATCTTTTCTCATATATCCAAAAATCCTTCTGGATGTCAGAGGAACTGGCATTTGTTTGATATCAGTTTTAATATATGTGTGTCGTAAATGTAAAAGGAATTCATCGTCTACTTTTACAGGTTTTAAGGCATCTTCTACTTTTTCCTGGCAATACGATACGTTATAAACTGTACGCATACGTTCACGTTGATTATCTTCCTAAAATAAGTGGATAAGAAATATGCATAGAATGTTATGGTTTAGTTATATATTTTTACTAGTAATTTTCTCTCTCCAGATCGTGATCTCTTGACTTCTATAGGTTTTTCTCCGAAATCTACATAATTTCTTTCTGGTCTTATAGGTTTTCGAGGCGTCCCTTTATGGCCAATATAATCTTCGTTATATACGGTTAAAAAAGACATGACTATCTAAAACAGGTAATTGAGGATGGTGAAAATTGTTACAAAAATTTATCATAGTGTGTAGTTTGAAAATAAATGAATTGACGTTGTGACAAATTCGTATATCGGATGCAGTTGTACAAACGTGCTGTGAATAATAATTTCAAATAAACGGTAAAGAAAACCTTGTGTAAATAATGTGGACATAAAATATTTATCTGCTGACGCGTGCATATATAAATATAATCATCAAACACACATTCTTATGAATATTTTTTTGTGAACGTAATCGAAATATAAAACATGCCAGGCATTTCACTTGCAACCGGTAGGGTAAATTAATATTTAACCTGAAACTACGCGTGGTTTTGTGAATTTGTAGTACCGGTTTTAAAGGGACAATGCAAATTTATATTAAGTGCATATTGTGACTAATAAGAGGAGTTGAATCCCCTTTCTGTAGTATTGCAATGACTGACAATTATATATTTTAGCATTGCACTCCCCATCACAAAAGGGTTTATACTTCAAGTCCTTAACCCGACTTCTATAATTACCTTGTAATTACCTGTGGAAACTGATATCACCAACTATACGAATGAAACAAAATGTACTTACTATATTATTTAATATTCCTGAGGAATACAGGAATGAGGGCATGACTGTATCTAAGTACAGTCATGTCCTATGTTTAAACTTTAATGCACTTAATCATCTTTTATTATGAGATAATTAACAAACTGACGGAGTGACGGAGAGAATAGCTAATAAACAATACAATTTGACCTTTGCTGGAACGGTTCTTCTCTCCTGGCACAATTTACACACCACTATACACTAAGCGGGTCCAAGGACTCGCGCCTGGACCCGACCGACCTCATCGGAGGATGTTATATTTGTTAATGATCGTTTTTAACCCTCGAGTTAGATCTTATATTGCAGGAACCCTAGTAGAGGTGGGTAAGGAATGCCTTTTGCACTGAGGGTTGTGTAACCCTTTGGCGATTGTGCATATTTTCGTTACAATATTCATTTGTTGTAGGTCCAACAGAGGCTATCGGTTCGAACGTGGGCTAGCACCAACTAGTCCCGGGTTCGCAAAAAAATAGTTATCTTTGCATATCATCTTTTAATCTGATTCAATTAAGTTGTTATGAAATAAAATTGTTGAAAAAATTCAGGGAGGGCGCATAAAATATTATTATTCGAGCGGGGGGCGTAAAAGGTTATATTATAAGTAGCTGTAAGGTTTAATTCGGTTAAAATCAATAATATTTATTTAATTTTGCATAAATTTTCCAAATTCTACATTTATTTTAGACTAACTGTTTGTAATTTAATAAATTACATATAATACATTTTTACGTTGATGCGTTTTTAAAGTACACTAAGTTGCTGCATGGCTCTATAATATTAGACAATATAATTTTCTACCAATTGATCAAATATTCTATTCATATTCGACTAGATTAAAAAGATACAAATGATGAAGGTTATAGATAATAATGATCAGAAATCCGTCACTGGTTTTGAATATAATTCCAATGAAATAACTCATAATTTGCTAGAGATGACCTCACAAATTCCACCATGTTAAAAAAGCTAAGAACCGAATATTTTTTATAGACAGGTCTTAATTGTTATATATATATATATATATATATAACAATATAATATATATATATATATATATCCAAAAAAAATATTACACACACACACACACATATATATATATATATATAATTGTTATATATAAAAAATGACAATATATCAGTATCTCACAGTATATACTTGTAGTAAATCAAATTATAAACAATGACTAGAGACATAGAAATTCTCGTACTGACATTTACTAGAAATCTCTAATAAGCTTATGTGGAGAAAGTATATATATATATATATATATATATATATATATATATATACACATATATTATACACATTTATATGTAGTTTAATATGTATGTATAGATTAGAGCGATGATATACAAAAGTAGGGTGTTTGTCTACCTATATTGTTTGTATATATATATATATATATATATATATATATATATATTAGTTATTTTTTATTTATTACATCAGGAGTATAAAATATCATGTTTTTATATTTCTAATGATAGTTCTGAATCTATTATATACATATATATTTCTATATCATATTTAACTATTAGATAATTAAATATTTCATATTTAAAATTTGTTGAATTTAATTTCAATATTAGAAAGCCATACTGTTTTATTTTTCAAAATTAGATAATTGGATGCAAATAATATAAAGAAGACAAATTTTATTTTCTTTTCTATTAATTTCCCAATCTGGCCCTCGTCTCTAGGTATCTGGACACCTCTGGCCACATATGCCAATAGGATGGTGTTTTAAACAATATGCTTATTCATAAATACAAACACAAATATATGAAAACACAACTACATACAAAATTACAAAAACCTTGTCCAACGATTACTAAGCGCGATAGATAGTTCTATGAATTACATTTCAGTTGTTGCTGATGGTGAACAAATAGTTTTGTGCCATTATTCGGATTAAAAATCGATCAATTTACAGGTATTTATTGTTAATTAGTATTATACAAGTGTTTAGTAAATAGTATTAATTAACAGCATTAATAATTGAAAAATAAATGGTGTTGGTGTCTAAACGTTTTGAAAATCACGAGCGCTCTGATAAGGCTTTGTTTGTGATAACTGATATTTGAGTTGCTAAAAATAAATATTGATGACTGTAATTGTTTGGCAGAATATAATGAAATATTTAAAAATTAAAGTATAAATTAAAATTATTATTCAAACCTATGCAAAAGTTGTAATTCTACAAAATTTATAATAGTTTTCTAGAGATTGTTTAAGCTCATATTAATTAACTTCCCGTAGGGTAAGTTATAGTAATAGCAAAAAAAATTTAAAAATAACGTTTCTGAATATTTTAGCATAACTTAGAAAAAATGGATGTATGTGTGTGTGCGGATACAAATTTTTGTAGACGATTTCGGAAACACCGATCAACCGATTTGAATAATACAAAAAACATTCAATTCGTATTAATAAGGAAACTGATTAGTTTTTGGCGAAGGCAGGTCTAGTCTTTCCGAAGATACAGGAAAAAAGTGCCAAAAAGGTAACTCAGTTTTTAAGAGAACGGAGCATCCGATTTTAATAATTCAAAAAACATTTTACGAGATGAAGATTAAATTTTTGGGAAAGCAAGTCCAGCGGTTATGGACTCTCAATAGAAATAAGTTAAAAAATGTCATTTGGCGGTCAAAAATGTTTATTGGACATCCAATTATCAGATATTTTATAGAGATTTTAATAATGTGTACACATTTTGTGTAAATGTTTTTGGGTTCAGCATCAAGATTTTTAATTACGGTTCGGGAAGTTCCAGCAATTTGTACATACAATATTTTATTTAAAATATTTTAAATGTTAAAGAGATTTAAAAAAATAACAGCTAAATTATTGGAAGAAATAAAAATTTCATAAGCACATGTTTCACGAAGATTACAGCAAGTATAACCTCGCTCTGGTATTTCGTGAAAAATATTCATCAGCAGCGATGAAATAACTGATATTTTAATTTATCTCATGTCAAATTGCTTTTTATAACTTAATTTTCCTTTTTATTAACTTCCCGTAGGGTAAGTTATTTACTATTTTCTTATTGCTTATACTTTTTACAGTATAAAGGGAAAGTTCAAAACATAAGTTTGACCTGTACAATATAACATCCTGTACCTGTACTGTATAATTGTGTTGTATAAATATAAATAAACCTAAATATCATGCATTTCTATTTACAATATGTAATATTACATAAAATTACGCTAGAATACATTTCCGTGCCGAATTTCATAATTTTGATAAAAATCTTTGCGCAAACTCACTCAGTCGGACGATTTCTAAAACAATACATTTCTTGCAAAAAAAAAACGAAGTAATTGTTAAATAATAGTTAGATAAAAATCAATGTTCGATAACTTTGAGAGTTGCGGTAGTTTATTATTTTAGTCGATTCCTTTTACTCGATTATTAATATCATGATTTCATAAGAATCGAGAGAGATTGCATTTGCTGTTTTGTAATGATAAATATTTATGTAGGTATTAAATTTAATAAATGTTCTAGTTATATAGAAAGAATTGGCCTCTCAGGAAATATTTTATATCATGCAACTTTTGAATATGATGTGACTACTCATTTATGCATTTATTAATAATATCTATTCTAACGTTTCAATCGTAAGTTAAACATGAGAAAAATGTTTCAGTAGTTTGTTTATGATGGATTAGTTTATAATATTGTCTAATATCAACTTGGTACAAATATTAAAATGGCGTTTTTTGACCGGGCCACAAATTGCAAAACGGGAAAATGTACTAAATTCACATTTACGATATGAAAGTAATATACTTTTATACCAACATCTCTATAAACTTAGACGTTCTATTGCGCAAAATGTTTGCGGCTCTGCACCCCTGAATTGCCACTTGACCTTGGATAAGGGCTAGATCCAGGTTGGGGCGCAAACCGCCGGAAAAACGACGGTAAAAATACATATTTGGTTAGATGTGAGGAGAAAAATTACTATTATGATCTGTAAAAAATGCAACTACGTTCACTACGTTCTTCACATTATTTGTCAACTCTCTAAATCATTTATGATTTTGATCTCGATCGTATTTACGAAACTAGTGGTGTATGGCATCGTGCCTTAAGGCAAATTGCTGTAACTTCCCGCACCGTAATTAAATATTCGAGGGAAAAAATCGATAAATATTGATCAATGATTGATATTAATTGTTTTAAACATTTTCAAATAGATAATTATAATCACTTTATATTTTGTCGTTCATAAAATATACATCTTATCACTCAAAACACTTGAAAATCTTTACATTAGCAAGAGGTGCCGAATAAATCCATCTGAGGATATATTTACTTATGATTAGAATAACGCATTTAAAATACATACATTTTCAAACTGAATTGTAAATTTAAAATTC